GAGCTCGTAACGAGTGTAGTGATCATACACTTGAACATCATTACCGAGTGGATATATTTTTTGAAGCAATTAATTGTCAAATAATGGAACTCAATCATCGATTCAACGATAGCTCAACGGAGTTGCTTCGACTCTCAACAACTTTAGATCCTAAAAGTGTTGATGAGCCTTTTCGAAGTGGTGATATAATTAAGTTAGTAGATAAGTTTTATCCTGAAGATTTCAATGAAAAAGAGAAAGTAGTTTTGAAGATACAACTTCAACATTATGAGATTGATGTCGTTCAACATGCAGATTATAAACTATTGACATCTATGTCAGATTTGTGTCAATGGTTGATAAAGACTAGAAGGGTAGCAAACTTTCATCTTATTTATAGAGTAGTTAGTCTCATACTTACTCTTCCAGTTTCTACTGCTACAACAGATAGATCATTTTCAGCAATGACCCTCTTTAAAACAAGGTTACGGAATAAAATGGAAGATGAGTTTTTAAATTACTCATTGGTTTTGCATTTCGAAAGAGAACTTGCTGAAAAGATTAGTTTAGAGACAAATATAGAAGACTTTAAAAATGCAAGCATTCGTCGCTTTCCACTTTGATTAACAATGTAACAATATTTATATTAGTTTTCTTGTTTAGACTTTTAATATGTCATTATTTTGAACCAAATAAAACTTGTTAATATAATTTAATTATGAAGTTTTGATATGTTATAATATAGTTCAATTATGAAGTTTTGATTCCGGCCCCCCAAGTTGTAGTGCTTGTGTTCCGCCCCTGGGTGGAAATGAGAAGAAAATAAAAGAAATTGGTGTTCCCGAGTTTCATTAACGGAAGGAAGTGGAGGGAAATGGAATAATCACTTTCCCTCCTATATTTCCTTCCGATTTGGGAGGATTTGGAAAGAAAGAAGAAAATGATTAATTTCCTTCCACTTCTCTTCAACTCGGGAACACAAAAGAAAATTTTGTTTTTCTTTCCTTTCTCTTTTTTTCTCTCGTGACTTTCTTTTCTCTTCTTTTTTTTTTTTTTTTGATAAACTCGGAAACAGGGTGTTAATCCGCAAAAAATCACACTTTTTCCTTGGTAGTTTTTCTCCATTGGAGGTAAAAACTCTGACCAATTTCATTAAACTTTTCTCAGGTGATTGATAAATTTAGATGATGCAGTATGAGCTAAAACATGCCATTATTGCCGACTTGTCACAACCAAAATGACGTTATAATGAGCGAACCCCTAACCCTACCGCCGGTTATATCTCGTTATTAGTGAATTTTGTTGTTGTTACCACCGGATGAAACGCCAAAATTTTGAACGTTAGGCCTTTTTGACCGTTCGCCAATGGTCACTTGATTAAATAAATAAAAATTATTTTTTCTAATTATAAATACATTTCATTCTCATCAAATTAAGATTTTCTTTCTTTCTTCATATATTTTATAAAATCTACTTCTAGTTCAACAACAAAAAATGGAGCAAAATCTAAATACCCTTCCACCTAACCAAAACCCAAACACACAACCACATACAACATCTTCTATCTGGTTTGCCGGTTACGAGAACTATTTTAGCCTTCTATCATCTTAGCTTATAAAAAATCACATACCAAGGGGTCTCTTTCAATCCCGCATCCCACATCACCACCACTCCATTTTCCTAACTCACATTGTCTTCAAAAAAAAAAAATTCGGCCAAAATTCAAGTTTACAAAAAAATCTTTTTCCCATGCCACCTCAAACACAACCACAACCACAACCTTAAACACAACCACCACCTCCAACACAAACATCGGCTAAAACGCAAGCGAGGGGTAGTAAGAGAGGGAGAGGGAAAGGGAAAGTTATAGTGGTTAACACGAAAAACGAGGAAGCTTCACATTGGTGGACACCAGATGAAGAAAATTATTTGGCACAAGCGTGGTGTGGTACTTCAAAAGACGAATGTCGCGGAAATTGGATGATGAAATGTGCTTATTGGGAGGCAGTGCTAAAAAATTTCCACACTATATTGAAGGAAAAAAATGTATCGCAATACAGACATGTTTAGTAGCAAATAGACTCAAATTAGCAAGCAGTGCACAAAATCAATGGTCTTTATAACCGGCTTGAGGCGCAACAACAAAGCGCAACCAATGACTTTGATTTGTTCAAAGCTGCAAAATAACAATATCGAGTTGAGATGAGACATGTGTTCGAGTTTGAGAAAGCGTGGGAGTTTGGGTGATTTGATCCAAAATGGCTTAAAAACCCTACATCGGTGGAGGTTCAATCCAAAAGGTCTCAAATTCGAGCTCGGTCGACGTGTCGGACACACGGACTCACATCAACCTAAACGCCGACACTAAAGAGATCCTAGATGATATAGAGGAGATCTCCCCACCACTACCATCGCTCGAACGCGACAAAGAGAGGTGCGTTGCAAGGTATGCAGAGGAGGTTGAGGCAAAAGCAAAAGATGCAGCGGAAATGAGAACGAAATTTGATGAGCACAATTTATTACAGAAAGAAAAAAAAATGAGTTGAAACATCGCCAATTGGAGTTACTAGAAAGGCAAACATAGGAGAATCAGGAGTAAAAAGAAAGAGAACTAATGACAATCAGGTAATTCCGGATCCAAAGGGTTGATGGTTTTATTATAATTAAAATGAAATTTTTAGTCTTAGTTTTTGGAATGTTTCACAAATAAATCATATGCACAATAAATAAAATGATTTGCACTCATCTTCTTCAAGCATCACTCCCACTATAATTTTGGAATTATGTAGTTGATGTATCTACCTATCTTTTAAATATCACACCCACCACTACAATCCACAACTTCACTCCCATCAAAATTATATACTTCCGGAAACCTTCTTTATCTCACCTTTGTACCTTTAGGTACTTATGTTACCCCAACCTCACCTCTACTACCAAACACAAGTTTGACCCTCGTAGCACTCCTTGTGTTTTTCTTGTTTGTCCATCCAATCATCATGGATACTTATGCTTACCACTAAACTCATCCATACGATTATATCTTGACATGTCATCTTCAAAGAAGATATTTTTCCTTATTGAAATTTATCACCATACCGCAATAGCTTATATGTGTTTCTTGAACCCATCGGACCCTCTCCCTATCTCCCTTGTTACCAAAAATACTCTTAAAATTCTAGTTTGACAAACACAAATATAGCCCCTGTCGATATAACCCTAAACCAACCCCCACACCCCTTCCTCAACCGCTGGTAATCCTCGACCCAATCCATTACCAACCCATTCTACACTAATTTCAGCCCAACAACCCAACCCATCATCGATTGTCTATAACCCACCAAATAGCCTATAAACGGATGTATCCCCTCCACCCTACTTTATCACACCCTATATGCTCTTCCTACAACTCATCCTTGCAAACAAGAGCCAAGAATGGTATTTTTAAACACAAACCCAAATATTCCTTCCATAATCATGGCATTTCTCCAATTCCTAAAGCCCCAGAAATTGCTCAACTTGACCGTAATTAGGAAGATGCCATCCTTATTGAATATAAGCTTTACTTAAACATAATACTTAGGAACTTGTATTTAAACCACATGATGCAAATATTATACGTTGTCATTGGCTTTTTCGACACAAATTTCGTTCAGATGGGTCCCTTGAACGATATAAAGCAAGATTAGTTGTAAATGGAAAATCTCAAGAGGTCGGGGTCGATTGTGATGAAACGTTTAGCCCTGTGGTTAAACCTGCAACAATACACACGATAGTTAGCTTGGCACTAAGTTGCAATTGGGAGTTACATCAACTAGACGTTAAAAACACCTTTTTACATGACTCTCTTAATGAAACAATATTTATGCACCAACCCTCTGATTTTCATCACCCTTCTTTTCCCGACTATGTATGTCGGTTACGTAAGTCTCTATATGGACTTAAGCAAGCTCCTAGGGCCTAGTACCAACGGTTTGCTACATATTCTCTTCAACTTGGTTTTACATGTAGTAAATGTGATACATTGTTGTTCATTTACACCAACGGTTCTAATCAGGTCTACTTGTTACTCTATATGGATGACTTTATTCTCACCGCTTCCTCCATAACATTCAAGACTGAACTTCGAAAGTTTGCTCAGGAGTTCAAAATAATAGACTTGGGCCCTCTTACTTACTTCCTTCACATTCATGTTACACACACTAAAAATAACATGTTCCTTCATCAATGCAAGTACACCGAAGCAATAATCAAGCACACCAAATTAGAAATGTGCAAACCTATTGCAACTTCAATCGATCCTAATTCGAAGCTTTATCATGACTGGTGATCCGGTTGATCACCCCTCCTTGTATCGAAGTTTAGCCGATGCACTTCAGTACCTCACGTATATAAGGCCCGACATCTCCTATGTTGTTCAACAAGTTTGTTTTTTATGAATGCCCCACGGTTCCTCATTTTAATGCTCCCAAACGAATTATTAGATATCTTCAAGGTACTCTTTAACTTGGTTTACATCTTTATCATTCCCCACCCATGATGCTAATAAAAATTAAAACTACCATGCTGGATAACAGCTCCGTGGAACCACTGTGAACGTGGAACCACAATGAACGGAACGACATGGAAAAGTTAGTTTCTATTCATTGTAATCTATTTAATATGTTTAAAAGAAATAAATATAACATATTTTTCAGTATCGAAATTGTCACAATTCATTATCCTAATCCAAATCCAAAAACCATATATTCTACTTTTTTAGAAGAGCCGAAACAAAACATTCGAATTTCGAATTGGATGTTCGAATACAAATTATTTTTGAACACCCTACATTTTACATCTTTATTTATGATAGATACGTATTCTAATAGAAAAAATAATGAACCCATCACTAATTGGAAACCGCCATGCATTGCTGAATTAAATTGCTACATGTCCGAATTTATGTTTAAAAAAAAAAACTCTGATATACGATGCATGGTTTTTTAAACCATCAATAAAATAATAATAATAATAATAATAATAATAATAATAATAATAATAATAATAATAATAATAATAATAATAAACTAACACCAATAGAATTCTACCAGAACTCATCTCTTCAGTCAACTTGTCGTTGCTCACGTCTTGCATTTCTCTTACGAGTACCAGTCGCATCATGATCATCTTCATTATTCCCTCCTTTCCTCATCTTCCTCTCACCTTCATCCTTCTTCCCATCTTCCACTTCCACTTTCACCTTACCCTGTTCATGAATTATATTTACACATGGAGTAATTAATTACGTACACAAAACTTTTTATTTACAGAAAACCCCCTCAATTCTTGATACTTACATGTTTCTTCCCACCAAACAGCACCTTCAATGAGATACTACAAACCACAACCACAATCGAAACCATAAGTCCAACTGTAAGATTCGGTTGTTCCTTAGCCTTGTCAACAAGCTCCTGAAAAAAAATAACATCACAAATTCAGTTTCTAATAAAAGAAATTAATTAACCCAAAAAAAAAAAAAAAAAAAACTTACCAAAACCTTTGTCTTACGTTCGCCCAGAAAAGGCAGTTCCGCGATCTTGTAAAGAACGTCAAACACAGTTTTCTGCAACAAATATGAATAAAGATCTAAATAATATAAAACCGAAAAATAAAAAGGAAATTATTATTTAAAAAGATCACCTGAATCCCTTTAAGACCATCTAAACCGGTTGACTTCTCCGCTTTTCGTTTCTCGTCTTCAACCAAAAACTTGGGTTTCCACGTGGCATCCCTGATTGACTTTGCGACCTTTTCGTCGTTTCCGATCAAAATGTTATCAAACAAGATTCCATCTTGCATGGTCCAAATCTCGATTCCAACAGCGGCAATTGGGTCGAAATTAGGGTTTTGAAGTTCGAAGTAATTAGGGTTTGGAATTTGTCGTGGCTTCCAGATACCTTTGTAATTAGGGTTTTCAATTAGAGGTGCATGCCATTTACCCTTGTAATCCGGATTTCGTTTCATTGGTCTTTTCCATTCCCCACAACCGGGTGCCGATTCACATTTCGGGTTCTCAATTTTCGGAGCCTCCCATTCGCCGTCCTCCTCATCGTCCCAATCTTCCGGCTTTAACGATTCCGGATCCTCGATTTCCTCCGGCTCTGATTCCAGCCATCCTTCCGGCATCTCAGCTTCCTCGTCTAAAATTTCCATCGGAGCATTCTCGTCCCAGTCCTCCGGTTTAACCGCATCCGGGTCTGGAATCTTGGCTCGCTCGTCCCAATCTTTTGGTTTTTTATCATCCGGGTCAGGGATCGTCTTTTCCGGGATGATCGATGGCTGAAAGTCTTCGGTTGATAAGAAATTTGCTTTCTTTTTCTCTTTTCCGTCGACTAGGATTCGCAGGTCGTTATCCCCGGGGTTTATGATTGCAGTGTAGACATGGGTTAATTTGTCGGAAGGGACTGACGGAGGAGAAGTGAGGTGGTGTTCGGTATACTCTCCATTAATGGGGTTTTTATGTTTCAAGATGAAATGGACTTTATTTGTAGCACCGCATTTGTCAGGGCCGAACATTATTGAATAAGGTGATTCGTTGTTGAATAGTTTGGCGCTCCAACCGGAATCTTGTGGACGGAGATATTTTAGATATGCGCCACCGCATTCCAGACCCTGTTGAAGGCGGACTTCAAATTGGAGGATGGTTGTGGTGTCTTGTAGGTCTAGAGGTTTTTCGAGCTCCTTAACAATGGCGTATTTTCTAGCTTTTTCACTCACTAGCAGTCCATAATCTTCATGCCCATCGCTTTTCGAGTGTTGCCATACACCTACAGGTTATGATTTATGAAGAATGCAATGCAATTAAGTCCACAAAGTTTTACAAAATTTGAAGAAATTGTTCACAAAGTGGAACACATTTGCATGCGATAAATCGACATCAAATGTTGAAAATGTCTATGAAGATTAATTGAACATAAGCATGTGAATTGTGATGTTGAATAATTGACGCCAACATAAAATGCAGTTAATTAAAATCATGAACATACCGATAACCATTAATTCAAAATATCACTATCAATAAGCATGCACGTCTAAGCGAATTGTCGCATCATTCGGATAATATATATAATACAAATTATTATTAATCCAAAGCAATCGGCCCAAATCATACCTGAATAATCTTCATTCTCAGATACGATCCACCTTCCTTCAAAAGATTCATCGAATGAATCGTAAAATATCTACATAAACGAAGAATAACCGTCACCGTTTATGAAGTTACAGATCTACAACACATTTATGAATTAGCTCACTTACAGAGTCCGAAGAAGAACATATCTGTGTAACGAAACAACCTATCAAAAGCGCAGCAAACAACAACGAACAACGCATCCTCTGTTCGCTTTCTTCCATAACCTAATTAATTAAAGAGATTAAACTCCACTGAAGATCTTCTTAATGATGATTGATCCGAAGAAATCAGATCCAATTTTTCAGATCGTTGTTTGATCAACTGGCGAACCGTGTAGAGCGAGAGACTGTGGCCTTCTTCTGGTTCCGTTTGCTGAGGTCCTTATAACGATCATGGAGGAGTTGCGTCGACTTGGTTCAACCACTAATAACATTTACCACGTGAAATGTGCCAATAGAAATTCGCCACGTATTAATTAGTTTGAAACTTACAGTGTCATATTCTAAAATTGTATTTCTTAATATAAAATATTTGTTTCAATGAAGACAAAATTTCATAAATGTCCCCGTGGTTTCTGAAAAGCAGCAATTTAAGGATAATGTTGAAAAAACGCTACACCATCGGTCACTGTGGTTTGGTTTGTCATTCTGGAATCATTTTCTTTGCACATTTGGATTTTATGACTAACTAGTGTAGGGATCCATGCTTTGTATGGGTCAAAAAAAAAAAAAAAAAAAAAAAAAAAAAAAAAAAAAACTTTCACATTTTTTATTGCTATAATTGGATGGACTTTGAAATACAAAAATAACACAAAAATCTCTTGGAATGACGTTAGAAAAACAATAAAATCATTAATAGGGTAGTATTAAGCCCAAAACTCAAAGCCCAAAGATCATCAGTACATGAATCCCCAAAGGTGGGGCCTTGGTGCCGTAAAAAAATTGCCGACTCATAGATCGATGCCTCCTGTACACAACGCCGCCTTGGAGGCTGGAGGCGTTTCTCCTGTCGCCTTAAGCCACCTAGTGCCTCTGAGCGCCTAAGGCATGCTTTTTAAAACACAAATGGAAATTTCAAATATGAAGTCTAATTTATTTTGGCTAATAATGCAAATGTGAACTTCAGAATTGAAATACCATAGGTCCATTAGTGAATGATGAACAAACACGACCTCGACCACAACTACTATTCACATCGTACATATAACAAAAATCGAATAATAGTAAGCTACAAAACCGTACGTTCCCCACTTCCTAGTAAAGAGCCTGGGGTGTGCATACGTTGTCGTATACTTTCAAAAGCTCAACCTGGAATGGAATTCAACAATGTAATGGAATCCTTGATTGCATTCTATGATGGTTATGCTTTTGTATGTATTATATCTATATACAATGTGTGTTTTTATTTATTAGTTATTTTAAAAATATAAGATGAATATTTTTCAAAGGAATTGTCTGTAATATTTGTAATATTTTTCTATCATAGAAGAAACAACCTTATAGCAGTGGCATAACTTTTATTTATAAAAAATAAAATTAAAGATAACGAATAAAATAATGATTTTTTTTGTAGAAGGAATTGTCATTTCAAGATGGAATAAATAAAAATAGTTTATATCCTAATGTTTCATTCCATTCCATTCCATGAAGAAATGAAAATGAAAAAAACATTGGCTAAGGAAATGAAAGTAACAAAACAAAAGGAATCGGAATAGCCCATTGCATTCCTTCAAACATTCTAATGGAACCATTTCATTCCTTCCTTGATTCCAATATACCAAACACTATCATATTATATTTAGAAAATTGAAAAACAAAAGGAAAAAGAAGGAAAAAGAAGAAATAGTCATTAGTACTTACCATAGCCTTGGTCTTGGAATAGAATGATCCAATGAAATTGGGTTTATCATCTCCCTTAAAACCAATCGTAGAACCTTCCAGATGTCCAGAATCATGCTCAAACCAGTCAACATTCGGTCTCCCAGTAACACCAGCATCATTGGAAACATGAATAAGTTTAATAGCTTGAATATCTGACAAAGAAAGATGTGTTAAAGGAAATTATGTTTTTTAGACCCATGTTTGCAAATTCTCATGTTATTAGTTGCAATTATACTTTAGTTTAAAACACGTTCATTAGTGTTGTACACCTGCTATTAAGTCCAAGACATCATTTACACTTTTACCAATTTGAATGCTTTTCTCCGCTTTGATCTCTCTTTACCCTTTTCACACACGCATATAAATTTAGTGAATTTAAATTAATAATCATATACTAATAACTACATACATAAACATCAAAGATTATAATATTATATATAAAAATATTTTTTTTTTGTTATTTGTAGAAATATAATTGTAATTTAAATTAAAATCGTGCTACTAATAAAAACAACATTTAAAGTAATAAAAACATCACCATTGTAAAGAAAAACTTAAGAAAGTATGAAAAATAAAGCATGTAATACTCGATGAGAGGTCTAACACACGTGAGATTGCAAGAGTGTTAAAGATATTTCTTTTGGTCAACTGGTTCCACATCACCCCTCATAAAAGAACAAAATGAACCATTAGTGAACATATGATTTCATCGGATGAGGGATCAAAGATATTGTGAATTGTACAAGTATCGATCCTTAATCCTTTGTAACTCGTTGATGCAAGATCCAAAAACTTAAATTTTTAGATAATGTTTCACACAAAAAAATAACAGGAATGCAAAAGAATGTGACATTAATCACGTTTTATTGAATTTTTTAACAGTTTTGCGCATCTTGACATGTAGACATAAAATCTGGAGGTTCTATATTCACTGTACAACTTATTTAAAATCAATTGAATCAAGAACAAAAGGATGACATGAAATATGTATGAGGAACTATCATTCATTTCGTCTCCTGGAGAAGATAGAATATGATTTTTCTTTTTTTTTTTAAACACGTTCTATGATCTGATGCATAAAGTCAAAGATTATTGAGCTACTTTACTATGAAGTCTAAGGAATGACATATTCAGTAATATGTTCGGGTGCATGAGTTTTTGTAGACATAAATCTGTGTTGACCTTCAACAACTGTCACGGTCCTATAGAAAAAAATATCTACGAAAATAATAGAGCATAGCGGCCTTTTACAAACAGGAAATCAGATTAAACTTGTCTATTTTTATGATAATCGATTGACAATGAAACAACAATTTTATGCACACACACACACTTGCAGCACATACATACATATATGTAATAAAAACTAAAAAAAAAAATCGATGATTTACCTTTGGTTTTTGGCAATATCTAGATAGAGAGGTAGACCTTTCCCCATCTCCGTTCTCCTGGAAAACAATCACAAAAAGAATATTAGGGGATACCTACTCATTTTTTTTACCGCTGGCCTTGAAGCCTTTGGTGGATACCTGCTCATTCTCCTTTGTCTTTGATGGGTACAGATATATGAAGTTGTTAACTTCAATAATGGGTTTAAAGTCCTTTTCCTTCTAAAAACGAAATAAATTGAGGTGAAACTGATTGAGAACCCGAAAAAATCAAAACCAAAAGATTATGGAGTGAAGCCGGTGAGATTTACCCGGTCGATCTCTCGTGCAATTTTCCAAGGGTTTCCAAAGACCTTTCCTAGGTGGGCATATCTATACAGAAAGTAGACACAAAGCATTCCTGTAATGATGGTTATTGATGGAGGGGATATCCGTGAGAGTAAGAAAAGGCCGGAACTGAATTGGAAGCCCTAATCGTCGACCAAAAATCGACTTCATGTTGCAAATAATCAGACGGATCTTCTAGCTTTTGAGCGGTAGTTTGTTGGAAATCGAAGCCCTAATCGAATATAGATGGATTTATTGGAAATCAAAGCCGTAATTAAATAGATAATCAGTAGACTAAAATGGAGGGTGGCATGTCGCTACATTCGGTTTTGGGAATTCCATCGAGGAATCGAGAAATGGAGTAGATGAGGCGATGAATGGTGATTCGGTGGATCGGTATCGTATGCGTAATTGGAAAAGGGGCGATTGGAAGTAACCTTCTTGAGATAAAGTGATTAGTCGGTGAAGTGGTGGATTCCAAGTTCGATGAATAGTAACAGAGTATGAACATTATCCAACTCGGGTACTGTTCATAAGAATGTTGGGATTTAATTAGTAGTATAATACCATTGGAAAACACTATTAATTAATTGCTTCATCAAAGACCATTTACCTTACTTTATTTTTTTTCCTATTATTTTGTCTTTCTATTGTTTCATCAAGGGCCATTAATGTAATTTGTTATTATTAAGGCTATTCGGAGTGGCTTGGGTAATCAGCCCGGATAGCTCGATGAACATCATGTCGAGCCCTCGGCATGCCAAGCTTAGCTCAGCAACTTAGCTAAAACTTACTGATGTGAGAGGGTATTAGGTTTGAATATTTGTGGATGTTGGAAGGGTCTTTTCACCGTTTTTTTTTTCAAAAAAAAAATTCAAAAAATACTTCCTTTTTTTACTCTACATAAATACTAATACATATTCTATTTTATCCCACTTCCCCATCTTTTTTTTCACTAAAACAATACAATTTTTATGAAAAAAATAGATTATCCTTTTAACCCAAAAGCTCAAAAAAATACCAAAAGAAAAACCCAAAACCCAAACATCTCATATTCTTCATCAAATTTGGTTCAAAAACCAAAGCAATCGGCCAATTTAGTTTCCACCAAATTTAAACTTTGGTGGTGAACCTCAATACAAAATCAAGCACAATGCTAAAATCAACCTCAATTCCAAAACCATCTACAATTTCAAAGACAACTCCAATTTCAATACCAACCACAAATGAATTTTTCATCCCAAATGAAAACCGACTTCAATCCATTTGATGATCTTCCCGAATCCCCAATAAATTTCCAGACCCAATTCCAAACTCAAGGGGAACCCGAAGTCGTCCCTGAAACGGAATCAAAGCTGGAAAAGAATCCATTACAACCCCCCAAAAATTGGAAGGGCAGCTCCAAAGCAATGGACACCAGCCGAAGAAAAGACGTTTGCTCGTGCGTGGGTGGATGTTTTTAAAGATCGGGTTGTCGGAAACAAAGAAGATTGTCCAACATTTTTTCGGAAAATTACACGGCATTTTCTCACGGAGATGAATCTTGGAGAGTACCTGTAACACCCGATTCCTGGTACGTATTTAATTCAAGAAAACTTTATGCTTTACTCTGGGACTCGATGAGTTGGAGGCCCCACTCGTCGAGTAGACTCGTCTTTCATCGGGGGTTTAAGTGACCTACTTGACGAGTCGGAAGACCGACTCGGCGAGTAGGAGTTGTCCGAGTGAAACCCTAAATTTGAGTGTTTGCACCCTATTTAAACAACTTATCTCCTCCCATATCAGCCTCCATCGTCCCTCACACTTCCAAAAGACCTTAAACTGAAACCTTAGCATTATTTGAGTGCTCTTAAGCCAGTTTTGTGTATTTTTTTTTGTGGTTATGATGCTTGAGAAGAAGAAAGGAGTTTGTAAGTTCCAGTTGAAGCTAGAAGATCCAGAGTTTGTGTTCCATCTCTAACTCATTTAAAGTAAAAAGCTTCAATCTTGACTTTCAATATGCTTAATCAACTTTAGGGCTTGGATTTTGGTTACTTTATGGGATTTCTAAGCCATTTTCGGGTTGTGAGGTGTAATGTGGAGATATGGCTTCAGATCTTGGACGTTGGAAGGGTCTCATGGTGTAAGACCCCATTCACTAAAATTACCATAAAGCCAAACATGCTACATGCATATTCATAATTATAATTCACACTAGTGGTCTAAATACAAAAGCATGGATACAAACCAACTAAAAGGGTTTTTACAAAGTTTCATAACTAGTTGTATAAATACATAACTACCCAGGAATTTATAATCCATATACATATATGTATACCAAGTAAAAACGTAGTAGTGTCAACTACTCTAAGTCCTCCAACAAAGCGTGTTTACTCTGGATGCTTATCACCTGAAATAGTTAAACACTAAAAGGGATAAGTGGGCGTCACTTAGTGAGTTCAAAAATAGATACAATATAACGCTATGCCATATACATAACAATATGACAGGAACAAAAAGAAACAAAGGACAACAAAGGCTTATATGTGTATCAAATGAAGGACTTTCCAAATCAATAAACGGTTAGATTCAAAGGATTACAATAATTAAGACACAATAATTTAGGATCATAAGCATCATAAATTCCAGCCCAAGAGGCACATAAAACACAATCCCTTTTAATCATGTTGCTAGAATATACAGGCTTTCAGCCCTACCTAGCCCGAAGCCAATACCAAAGTGATACGAGTCATGCTCTACATGGTCAAAGGCACAAAGCCAATACCAAAGTGATACGAGTCATGCTCTACATGGCCAAAGGCATCAAAATCAATATCAAGTAATAACCACTTAGATCAATAACACAAGAAAGCACATTGCACATATAACACATAACATACAATTGTCCCTATATTGAACTCACTGTGCTGTAACCGAATGTTGCGATAAAATTCCTCTTTTTCTGATGAAATTACACCATCCTCAGGCCTCTAAAACCTTCAATTATACCCCTGGAGTTCATATTTCAAATTTCATAAGCAATTACTCAACTACTCTCAAGTTATGTTGTTTTCAATTTAGAAATTTTAGTTTTTGTTCTTTGTATAGCTGTCACTTGCAGATCTGTTTTACCCTTATTAAATGTCAAAATAACTAATAAATTATACATATTAATAAAATAGACTCTTATATCTTTCTAATGCCACTGACCTCACATTTTTATGATTTTTCTATAATTTACTATGAATTTTACAAAACAGCATCCTAAAGCTGTCAAAATGTTCCAAAGCTGTCAAAATTCAGCCTTACTGCACTGAACATATAGCTGTTTTCACCCCTTTTAAGTCCGGAATTAGATTTTGGTTTTAAAACAAAAATCAAAGTAGACATTCTCAGCTTTCCAGGGATATATAGCACATCTCCATACGATTTTTCTATAATTTTTGGTGATTTTTACAAAAACAGGACAATTATACCCTTTATAATTTCATTTTACCCTTTACATGATCAAACCTCATGATCAATATCACCAAGTTCTTCTTTTACAATGATAACACTGAATATTTTAGTAATCCATTCTAATTCAAGTATAAACCATGGGTTTCATTATTAATTTTCACTAATTACTCTTAAACCATATGATTAATTCTCAAGTTTACATGTAGTTACTTGATTTCCATTTAAGATTCTAGGTTAATAACATAAACTCATGCCTAATTTCATTAAATCAGTGGTAAACCCACTTTGATCAAACCCTAATCTCTTAATAACTCACTAATTACAAGGGTTAATCCAAAAATTAAGAGTTCATACCTTGATTACTAGACTTGATACTTCAAGAACACTCAAAATCTTGATTTAATCTTCAAAACTTGATCAAGATTGATCATGTATGTGAAAATCTCCCATAGGGATGGTGACGAACTGAAAATGGCAGGAAAATGACTCAAAATCGTGTTTCAATGGGTAAAAACCCGAGTTGGGTCGGGTTTGACCCGGTTTGGGTACCCGTTTTACCCCTAAACACTAAAAATTGCATAACTTTTCGCTCGAAACTCCGTTTTCGATGAGGTTTTCGCCTGTACGTTTCTAACGAGATAATTTACAACTTCCAATAAAAATATCCCAGAAAAGATCTTCCAATAAAATCAGATTTAATTATTTTTAACTTAGACGTTATACTTTCGTTAATTCCGATAGTTGACTTTTTGATCGGAATCACATAAGACTTCCCTATCACCTCTAATACATTCCAAATGATTCTAAACTTAGTTTAACTTCAAATATTATAAACCTATTTCGTTAGAAATCAACGCTTAAAACCATACCGAAAATAATATATATATATATATATTTTTTAAACGCTTACAATTCTATTTTACTATAACTACCTACTTTAAACGTTTAAAACAACATAATATATAATAATATTCATTTTTAAACTAACAATCATATGAAACATGATAATTAAACAAGGTTACTAAAGTGTATGTTACAAATACCTCCTCCTTTTGAGGATTTCGTCCCCGAAATCACGACGATTTAAACAAACGGGGATATTTTTCTCTTATGTCATTCTTATTTTCCCAAGTATAATTTGGGCCTCGATGATGTTTCCACTTGACAAGCACTAACTCCACTTCTTTATTACGCAGATCAACCGTTCTCTCATTTATAATCTCTTCAGGTTCTTCTATATATCTTAACTTATTATCCAATTTCACCTCTGATAATGGAACTGTCTCATCATAGATGCTCAAGCATTTGCGTAGATAGCTCACATGAAACACATCATGAATACCTGCCAAATCTTCCGGCAATTCCAAGCGGTATGCTTGTTTACCAACTCTCTGGATGATTTTGAAAGGACCAACAAATCTAGGACTTAGTTTTCCTTTCTTCCCAAATCGCATAATGCCTTTCCACGGGGATACTTTTAGCATTACGAAATCACCCACCTGGAATTCTATGGGTCGTCTCCTCTTTTCTGTATAGGACTTCTGTCGATCCTGGGCCGCTTTCATTCTTTCTCGTACAATTTGAATCTTGTCGGTGGTGTCTTGAATCATTTCAGGGCCTCCAAGGATCTTTT